ATATATACCCAGTAATGGTATTGCTGGGTCAAATGGAATTTCTATTTCTAGGTCACTGTCTTCCACAATGGTTGAACTAATTTACATTCCCACCAACAGTGTAAAAGTGTTCCTATTTCTCCACATCCTCTCCAGCATCTGCTGTCTCCAGATTTTTTAATAATCACCATTCTAACTGGCGTGAGATGGTATCTCAATGTGGTTTTGATTTGCATTTCTCCAATCACCAGTGACAATAAGCATTTTTTCATATGTTTGTTGGCCTCATATATGTCTTTTGAAAAGTGTCTATTCATATCGTTTGTCCATTTTTGAATGGGCTTATTTTTTTGTGGATTCTGGATATTAGCCCTTTGTCAGATGGGTAGATGATTGCAAAAATTTTTTCCCATTCTGTTGGTTGCTGGTTCATTCTAATGATTGTTTCTTTTGCTGTACAGAAGCTCTGGAATTTAATTAGGTCTCATTTGTCTATTTTGGCTTTTGTTGCCAATGCTTTTGGTATTTTAGTCATGAAGTCCTTGCCTATGCCTACATCCTGAATGGTTTTGCCTAGGTTTTCTTCTAGGGTTTTTAATGGTGTTAGGTCTTATGTTTAGGTCTTTAATCCATCTGGAGCTAATTTTAGTGTAAGGTGTGAGGAAGGGGTCTAGTTTCTGCTTTCTGCACATGGCTAGCCAGTTTTCCCAACACCATTTATTAATTCTTGGTGGTCCCAAAAAGTAACCCAAGGTTATTTGTTTAGCCTGTGGGAGAGATCCTGGAAATCACTGAGAAAGCCTCATTTTGTCTCATAGCTAAGGAGTGAGCTCTGATTGTACCTAATCTGACTACCTCCTTAGCAGCTATGAGAGAGAAATGTTCCTTGGACCACTACTCCAAAGAAGAAGATAGAAATATACTCTAAAGAGAAAACATCCCCTGGGAGCTTCATGAGGGAAATTACCATTTCAAATGGCTTCAGCATCCATGGATTGAATCCACTTGATCTGGATAGTAGTCTACAGAGTGTGGAGTTTGTCAAGATCTGTGGTTCTTTCCATCTGACGCCTTTCTTCAGGAAGCCCTGGTCTTCCTCTTCCAGCCACATCCCAGGTCTAGAGCATTTTCCTACAAGGACACAACAATATTCAGCTTCATTAAGGAAGGAAGAAGAGCCACAAAGCAACTCATTCAGTAATTTTCTTGCTGACCCCAATCTAAACTGTTTTTTATTCCTTATCTTGATTCTACAATGTAGACAAAAATGAAGATTTCTTTCTAAGACCAATTATTATAATGGGCAGATAAAAAGTGACAATGCAAATACAGTCACTAAAAACAAAAGAAGGAACACCCAAACCCAAAATGAACAGAAACCAAAAACCAGCCTCTGAACTCATAAAACGTGATTGCTTTATGGTGAACAGACAGTCCACAATGAATGGCAAGTTGTCTATTGATGTGATTGCTTTATGGTGAACAGACAGCCCACAATGAATGGCAAGTTGTCTATTGATGTCCTCTTCGGCCTCTTGATCATCTCATGTTCTTTTAAGATAAGACTGCAGACCATGGAATCTTGCTGGAGATAACATGATTTCCTGAGTGAAGGCTATAAAGGGACAAAACCATAGACCTTGGCACATTCCAGAGCTAACCTCTTAACCTTGAGGTGACACTCTCCAGTACAGACTATGGGAATAGGGAGAAGAGGGAAATGGATTAGTCAGAAATCTTCCCTGATACTTAATGAGCTTCCTCAGCAAAGGTTAAAAGGGAGTACCTTTAAACAACAACCTGAGTGAGCGGTCTTAGAGTTTGCAGACTGCAGTCAGGTACATTCCAGGGAAAGCCTGCTGAATACCTCTGAAATTGCCCTTTTGTAGAGTAGCTGTAAAGGAGGACTGCTATGGTCTGAATGATTTGTTCCCCCATAATTCATACGTTGAAACCTAGTTTTAAAAGGAGGGCCTTTGGGAGGTGACCAGATCATGAGGATGGAGCCCTCCATAAATGAGAGTAAAACCCTTAAAAAAGAGACCTGAGGGAGTTTGTTTGCCTTTTCTGCCTTTTAATCACCCAGCTATAAGGCACCATCTATGAGGAAAAGAACCCTCACCAGATATCACTGCTGCCTTGATCTTGGGCTTCTCAGCCTGCAGAACTGTGAGAAATAAATTTCTGCTGTTTATAAGTTACTCGGTCTAAGGATAATTTGTTACAGCAACCAGAACAGACTAATACAGGGCCTGAAGTGTGCATCTTAAATTGGCCAACTCACTATTATGAAATGTGCTATTCACATCCTCGTTCTTTAGTAAGTTTGGGTTGTCAGTTTTTCTTGGTTCCCTGGAGTGTGAAGGTTTAGAAATAAATTATTTCATTATTTTTTCTGCACAGGAGAAAAAAAATGGGAACAGTCCCAGGCCAGAATCAAAAAAGGCAATTACTGAGTGTACAGAATAATTGACAAAGGCCATGTGGCCCCTGCCTCTGGCCTTGGCTGAGCCTGTTAGAGGCAGGAGAGCCCTGAGTAGACAGGGTGGTGGTGACGTAGTCCTCTGATCTTCCTTGAAAGATACTGATCTGTAAGGAAGACCCTGGGGACCTGCTGCTTTACCATGGCCTCTTGTAAACACATCAACCCTGGAATCAGATGGTTCTGTGCCTGCAGAAGGTTCCTAATTCTCTGCGTTTTTTTAAATTGCCTCTTTTTTCTAATGACTCATTTTACTTTCCAGTATAATTGTTGAGTACATCAGTCTCAACTTTAGATAAGAGAAAGTGTATTTATTTAAATTTGATTAAAGATATCAAACGAGGGAGAACTGAAACCCAAGCCATCATGTCATGTCACACTGTATTTGGAGATATAGACAGACACATCACATTTACAATTAGGAATTAGACTCAAATTTCAAAAGGCTGCCTATCACAGGTGTTGATATGCATGAACAAAGAAAAAATAATTATTAAAAATAATAATAAGAGACTGCCTGGCTCAGTAACTCTATCAGCAACTGCAAGTATGCTACTTTCCTCTTAGTAAGAAAGTCCATGCTAGACCCCAGGAAGCACACAACCAGGCAGGGGCAATCAATTGTGTTACTGTGTTCTCCTGGCCTGTGATTGGTTCATGGATGGGCTTGTGACCCAAACTCAGACAAATCAGTGATCTTCCATAGGATATTTCACAACTAAGTTGGGAGGAAGACTCTTTCTAAGAGGAAATTCAGAGCTGCCTGCGGCTATGTTTCCTTCAAATAGAAAAATTCTGTAATAAAGACTACAGATGGAATTAGACTGAGTTGAAAGATTGAGGGGGAGAGAGAGAGAGAGAACCCAGAGTGGCAAAGACAGATGGCAGCACTCCAATGGCACTGTGGACCTTGCATGTTGTTGTCCCTGAGGTCAGACCCACTCTTACCAAAACTGAGTGTTTATTGGGCTAATGAATTGCCTTTTATCCCAGGATCATCCTCTTCTAAATGACTCCTAAATCTTGGCATCCGCAAGGTTCAGTCCCAAACCATTTTCTTGTCTTTATCCACTGTCTTGGTGATCTCATCTAGTCTCATGGCTTTAAATGTAATTTATGCTGATGGCTTGTAAATTTATAAACGTAGCCCTTACCTCTATACCCATAGATCTCGCTGCCTGATCAACAATGCCTCTCCACTGTCTGGTAGTCATTTTGCTCTGACTCGTCTAACACAACACTCATCCATCTCCTCTCCGCCCCCACCCCCTACCTGGTCTTTCCCCATCTCAGTAAATAGTACAATCAATTGCATTTTTCAGTGGTTCAGTCCAGAAACCTGAGAGTCATCCTTGACTCTTCCCTATTTTGCACCTCCAACATCCAATTTATCACCAAATCCTGCTGGTTCTACCTCTAAAATAATCTCCCATCTGTCTACTTCTTTTCTTCTCCTTTTTTCACATCCTGGTCTATCACAACAGCTTCTTAACTGGTCCCCTTGCTTTTACTCTTGACAACCTATAACACATTCTCCAACTCCACACAGCACATAGGGCACTCTTTTTAGAATCTGAATGAGATAATGCCATATCTGTGCTTAACTTTCTACAATTACTTCTACAATAATTAATAAAATCCAGGCTTCTTATCATGATTTACAAGACTCTATGATCTGGCCCCTGTCCATCTCTCCAACTCATCTTCTTCCTTAATTAAGTCTTCTTTCCTTGAAACTGTCAAATTTGCTCTCTGCCTTAAGGCCTTTGCATTTTCTCATCTCTGCCTGGAATGTGTGCATGACTGGTTTCTTTTCATCATTCCAATGCCTCAGAGAAGACTTCTCTGTCCCCGAAATCTAAGTTATCTCTGATTCCTTAGTAACACTCTGTATGCTAGGTTAAGTATCTTATCACAATCTGATATTCTTTTTATTTTTTTCTTTATATTTTGTCTCTTTCTAACTAGACTGTAAGTACCATATGATAAAGGACTTCTTTGTGTTGTTACTATTATTTACCTCAGCACCTAGAATAGCTTCTGGCAAAGAGAAGTGCTCAGTGTTTGTTGAATGAAAAAAAGTCATTTAGCTGGGTTTCTCTCATTTGCAAATAAAGGAGATCCCAAGAGATACAAAATAGTTTCACATACAGATCAGCAAGTTTCATAGTTTAGAACTTAACAGGTCATAAAGATGTACTGAATGCTGTAACAGCAGCAACAATGATGCTTATTATTTATGGAGCATTTACTACATTCTAGACACAGGATTTTGCATTAGCCAAATTTAAGTCCCACAGAAATCTTGTGAGTCAGGTATCTTAATCTTCTTTTTAACACTGTTATAAACTGAGACTCAGATTACATGTTTGTCCAAGATTACACAGCAATAAAATTGGTGGACTTTGAACTTGAACTTGGGAGTTCTGATTCCAATGTTGGTATTTATTCATGATATCACATTATCTCTGTAAAGTAAATATAGTGATGAAATATGAAAGATAAATATTTAACAAATTCAACCCCTACTTCTTACTAGGTATGAGGTTTGCTGATATCTTGCTAGATGAAAACTTCACTGCTAAAAACAACAGCATAAAATATGACCCAAGGGGTGAGGATCCAAGATGGCCGAATAGAAACAGCTCCAGAGTGCAGTTCACAGCAAGAACAGCACAGAGGGTGAGTGCTTACCACATTTCCAAACAAGTTTTCACTGTCCACAGACCAGGAGATTCCCAGGCCAAAAAGCACCACGAGTTTTCAGTGTGGCAGTTTCAGCCAGTGCCCAGTTGGTGTACAGAAACTCACACAAGTCTGGGCAGCCATTTCAACTGGGGCTTAAAACAAATGCTTGGGAGACAGAGCTGCCCATTCAACTGAAAGGGAGGGGGCTAAGACAGGGAGCCCGGTGATCTGGCTTGGCAGGTACCACCCCCACAAAACAACCTGAAATGCTCTGTATTGAGCATTTCACAGCAAGAACAGCTGGACCCAGGCTGGTCCAGTTCAGTGGGGGGAAGGGTGTCCCCCACTACCGAGGCAGTTCACACAGCAACTGGGCAGAGCCTGCAGCAGCTCAGCAATTCCTCTGCTTGCAGACTGTGACTAGACTACTCCATGTGGGCAGGGCATCTATGAAAAAAGGCAGCAAGCACATCAGGAACTTATAAATAAAGCCACCTTTCCAGGTCAAATCACCCGGGAAAAGAGGTGGTTATGAGTTCTGCTGCAGCAGACTTAAAGGTACCTGCCCAGCAGCTTTGCGTGGAACAACAGAACTCCTAGCACAGCACTTGATAAGGGACAGACTGTCTCCTCAAGCAACTCCCTGACCCCCGTATATCCAAAGAGACACCTCATAAAGAAGAGCTCAGACCGACATCTGGCAGGTACCCTTCTGGGACAAGGATAGCAGAGGAAGAAACCGGCGGCAACCATTGATGTTCTGCAGCCCCCATGAGTGATCCCCAGGTGAGTGGGGTCTGGACTGAACCTCCAGCGGTCCTGCAGCAGAAGGGCATATTAGAAGGAAAACTAAGAAGCAGAAAGAAATAGCTTCAACATCAATGAAAAGGACGCCCACTCAGAGACCCCATCTGAAAATCACCAACTACAAAGACCACAGGTAGATAAATCCACAAAGATGGGAAGAAACCAGCACAAAAAGGATGAAAACACTAAAAACTAGAATACCTCTTTTTCCTCCAAGGGATCACAACTCCTCACCAGCTAGGGATCAAAGATGGATGGAGAATGAATCTGATGAAATTGACAGAAACAGGCTTCAGAAGATGGGTAATAATAAACTTCTCAGAGCTAAAAGAACATGTGCTAACTCAATGCAAAGAAACTAAGAACCCAGAGAAAAGGTTAGATGAAATGCTAATTAGAATAAACAGCTTAGAGAAGAATATAAACGACTGATGGAGCTAAAAAAAAAAAAAAAAAGACAACATGAGGAAAATTTTGACAAAGGCTCATGTAGGAATCAGCAAACATTTTTTGTAAGGAACCAGATTGTGGGTTGACTCTCAAAAATGGCCGAATAGACACAACTCCAGCACACAACACCCAGCAAGAAAGAGGCAGAAATCCAGAGATCTCCTAGCTCCAAACGAGGTACCAGGGGCATTTTAACAGGTCTGGTCCTACAGTGAGCAAAGCCCAGGCAAGGCAGAGCAAGGCAGGGAGGGGTGCTGCTTCACCCAGAAAGTGCATCTGACAGGTGAGTCAGAGGCTCCCTTTCGGGCACTCTGGTCCAGATACAGTGCTTCCCCCACAGCCTCAGCAATACACAGAACAGGGGATCTTTGCCAGTCAAGCGCCGGGAATTACAAGCACGGAGTTGAACAATAATCCAGGACGGTGTCCTGGATTGGTACATAGACCTAAACAGATACAGAAGTCCAAAGCCAACTGGGAGAGCCTGTGGACTGAGCTATCACCCCTGCCCCTCAACCAGAGAGACAGGGAGTTATAAGCAGGAGGACAGAAGAGCAGCATGGTGGGCCTCTACCCCATGACTGGAGAGAAAGGAAGCTGAAAGGGGGAGATGGCAGGTGGGGCTGGGTGGATCCCTACCCACCACAAACTCCAGAGGGTTGAAGCTCTGACTCTAGCCAGTTGAGCAGCCAGTGCCACAGTCTGAGTTGAACTCCGAATGATCCAGCACAGTGGAGGAAGGGCACAACCCACCATTAGAAGGGTGGGACTGGGCTACATGTTTTAACAAAAAATACAGGATGCCTATCTAGCAATGGGACAGCATTCTTGACCAACCAACAGCACCTCACAGGTCAGCGGAAGAGGTGGACCTAATCTCTCAGTAGAAATAAAAAAGACACAGGAAGCATCCTTAGTAACCTGAAGGAGTCCCTAGAAACCCAGTAGTGCCTCTACAGGCAGACAAGCGATATCATCAAGCAGCTCCCTGACACCACAGCCAGGTAAATCCACAAAGATGGGGAAAAAAACAGTGCAAGAAAAGATGAACCATCAAAGACCAGACACCTCTTCTCCTTCAAGGGTTCAAAACTCCTCAACCACACATGAACACAACATGACCGAGAAAGAGTTTGACAAACTGACAGAAACAGGCTTCAGAAGGTGGATAATAACAAACTTTTCTGAGCTAAAGGAACACATTCTAACTCAATGCAAAGAAACAAAAAACCTTGAAAAAAGGTTAGACCAAATGCTAACTATAATAACCAGCTTAGAGAAGGATATAAATGACTTGATGGAGTTGAAAAGCACAGCACGAGAACTATGTGAAGCAAACACAAGTTTTAATAGCCAAATCGATCAAGCAGAAGAAATGATATCAGAGATTGAAGATCAAATCAATGAGAAGGCAAGACAAGAGAAAAAAAGAGTGAAAAGAAGTGAACAAAGCCTTCAAGAAATATGGGACTATGTGAAAAGACCTAATCTATGCTTGATCGGTGTACCTGAATATGATGGGGAGAATGAATCCAAGCTGAAAAACACACTCCAGGATATTATCCAGGAGAACTTCTCAAGCCTATCAAGGCAGGCCAACATTCAAATTCAAGAAATACCGAGAACTCCACCAAGATATTCCTCAAAAAGAGCAACCCCAAGGCACATAATCATCAAATTCACCAGGGTTAAAATGAAGGAAAAAATGCTAAGGGCAGCCAGAGAGAAAGGTCAGGTTACCCACAGAGGGAAGCAAATCAGACTCACAGTGGATCTCTCCAGAGAAACCCTACAAGCCAGAAGAGAGTGGGGGCCAATATTTGACATCCTTAAAGAAAAGAACTTTCAACCCAGAATTTCATATCCACCCAAACTAAGCTTCATAAGTGAAGGAGAAATAAAATCCTTTATGGTCAAGGAATTACTGAGATTTCATCACCACCAGACCTGCCCTACAAGAGCTCCTGAAAGAAACACTAAGCACAGAAAGGAACAAGTAGCAGACACTGCAAAAGCAAACCAGTTGGCAAAGACCAAAAATGCAATGAAGAAAATGAGTCAACTAATGAGAAAGAAAACCAGCCAGTAACAAAATGGCAGATTATATTCACACATAACAATATTAACATTGAATTTGTAAATGGCTTAAATGCCCCAATCAAAAGATGCAGACTAGCAAACTGGATAAAAGAACCCATCGGTTCCTTTATATTTCTGCTGTATTCAGGAAACCCATCTCACATACAAAGACACACATAGACTCAAAATAAAGGGATGGAAGATTTACCAAGCAAATGGAGAACAAAAAAAAAAAAAAAAAAAAGCAGGGATTGCAAACCTAATCTCTGACAAAATGGACTTCAAACCAACATAGATGAAAAGAGACAAAGAAGGAAACAACATAATGGTGAAAGGATCAATCCAACAAGAAAAGCTAACTATCCTAAATATATGTGCATCCACCACAGGAGTACCCAGATATATAAAGCAAGTTCTTAATGACCTAAAATGAGATTTAGATTCCCACACAATAATAGTGGGAGACTTCAACACTCCACTGTCAATATTAGACAGATCAACAAGACAGAAAATTAACAAAGACATCCAGTACTTGAATGCAGAGCTGGACCAAGCAGATCTAACAGACAGGTACAGAACGCTCCACCCCAAATCCACAGACTATACATTTTTCTGAGCACCACATTGCACTTACTCTAAAATTGACCACATCATTGGAAGCAAATCATTCCTCAGCAAATGCAAAAGAATGGAAATCATAGCAGTCTATCAGACCACAGCACAATCAGACTAGAACTCAGGATTAAGAAACACATGCAAACCCACACAAACACTTGGAAACTGAACAACTTGCTTCTGAGTGTCAACTGGGTAAACGATGAAATGAAGGCAGAAATAAAGATGCTCTTCAAAACCAATCAGAATGAAGACACGACTTGCCAGAATCTCTGGGACACCGTTAAAGCAGTGTTGAGAGGGAAATTTATAGCAATAAATGCCCACGTGAGAAACAAGGAAAGATCTAAAATTCACACCCTATCATCAAAATTGAAAGAGCTAGAGGAGGAAGATCAAAATAACTCAAAAGCTAGAAGACAAGAAAGTAAGATCAGAGCAGAACTGAAGGAGATAGAGACACAAAAAACCTTCAAAAAATCAATAAATCCAGGAGCTGGTTTTTTGAAAAGATCAACAAAATAGACCGCTAGCCAGACTAATAGAAAAGAGAGAAGAATTAAATAGATGCAATAAAAAAGATAAAGGGAACATCGCCACTGATCCCACAGAAATACAAACTACCATCAGAGATTACTACAAACATCTCTATGCACATAAATCAGTAAACCTGGAAGAAATGGATAAATTCCTGGACACTTGTATGCTACCAAGACTAAAAGAGGAGGAAGTTGAAACACTGAATAGACCAATAACAGGGGCTGAAGTAGAGGCGCAATCAATAGCCTACCAACCAAAAAAGTCCAGGTCCAGACGGGTTCACAGCCGAATTCTACCAGATGTACAAAGAGGAGCTGGTTCCATTCCTTCTAAAACAGTATCAAACAATACAAAAGGAGCAAATCCTCCTTAACCCATTTTATGAGACCAACATCATCCTGATACCAAAACCCGGCAGAGACTCAACTAAAAAAGAAAACTTCAGGCCAATATCCATGATGAACATCAATGCAAAAATCTCCAATAAAATTCTGGCAAGCTGA